TAATAATAATATATAATAATTTATTTTTGTATTCTCGTTACATCTAATATCTTAATGTAAATTAATAAATAAAAAAATATATATGCGTGTATATATATATAGTTTTTGTTTTAAATAATTTATTTTTGTATCATCGTGCTACATTTTACATTCTTAAAAAAGTAAATATTACATATAAATATATTTATCATAATATTTATTAATAAATAAAATAAATGTATAATAATTTAAAACAACTTTTTTTTATAAGGATGTCAAACATAGTGATACTTTGGTACTTACATGAGTGAAGATATTATAATGGCTGGTGTTATGTAGTGCGTGTGTTACCTCATAGTCCTGTGCTGTAGCCAGCTCTCATGTTTATAGTGGAGTTTCTCCAGATATTCCAGTGGAATTCCCTGTTCCTCGTCTCTTCCTCTCAAATACAATCGCTCCAAACACCTCTGTAACACAAAATGGTCTTGTTTACTCTTTTTCACAGCACAGCAGAATCACTTTAAAGGCCCCATCTGGGTTTGCGTTCATACTTCTGGTTTTGCCCGCAGGTAAATGATGCCGTCCAGCTCAATGTGCTTCCCAAACTGCTTATGCAGCCAGCTGTGCCAGTCCTGATAGATCGCCCACTCGGTTTCATTCACACACTCACTTTCATAGAGGTTAGAGGCAAAGATGTACCTGCAACACACCAATCAAAGTGATTAAAGTAAGCCGATTAGTTGATATTTCTATTTATTTGACTTTGTGACATAATGACGGTTGTATAACAATCACAGACCCTTCATCAACGAAAGGAGGAGATGCATTTCAGATGCATGTCCCGTTTGATAACGGATATTAATACCAGGTACAGTCTACCTGTCACTGTACACGGATCGTTCGAAGAACTGCACTGGATTCTCAGCCTCTCGCAGTTTTCCGTTGGTGGATCTGATCTGCGAGCGGATGCGGCTCATGCAGGCGTAACTCTGGAAGGTGTAGGCCCAGCGATCGGGCTTCTCGTACATCATCTGCAGCACATTTCCTCCACTCTTCTGAGAGGTGGTCAATTCCTGAACGTATACATACACGTTATATTGGTCTACATTTGTTAGGCATCAAATATTTGTATGACAATTCCACACAGAAATTCATAAGATAATTATATATACACACACACACACATATACAGTTGTGGCCAAAAGTATTGACAGTGACACAAATTTTGTGTTTTGCAAAATTTGCTACTTAAACTGTTGTGGTATTGGCAGTAACATAATCTAGAAACAATGTGAATAAACACTATAACAGCTTAAGCTGTAAATTTAGCAAAACACAAAATGTATGTCACTGCCA